ATAAAAGATTAAAAGATTTTTTTCAAAGCATTTCATGCCTACTTTAATACCTCAAGAGGGCTGGGGTTATAGCTCAGTGGTGGAGTACTTGCCTAGCATGCACAAGGCCCTGGATTAAATCTCCAGTACCACATTAAAAGGGTGAGGGGCTTGTCTAGAAATACCTTAAGAGCTTGAATCATGTAACTTCATAAACCAGAGATCAGTTAACGGTTGGTGTCGGTCTGTCCTGGTATTGCCTCCCCTGGCCTTTGTGTTCCTAAGAATCAGGTGTGTGCCTGGACCAGCTCTGACAAATCCAGAACTAAGAACATCCAAGTCTAGGATCTGGGGGTCTAGTGATGACTAGTTCCTACCTTGTATTTCACATAAAGACCTCCTTTACTATCCCTTACCTGAGTGTGTTTCTTGTTTTATTTCCTAATAGTCGTATTGGCTGTTACGTGACCGTCTTCCAAAATATTTCCAACTTGAGGGATGTCTTCTACAGGGAGATGAGCAAGGTGAGAAGCAAATGGCTAATGGAGACTCTTCAGTGGGTTTTTTCAGTGAATATAAAAGTTACCCTGATTTAAATAATTTCTTTGTACCTCCATATTGGCACCACAGATTTTTTTCTTTTTTTTTCTTTTTGGTACTGGAGATTGAACTCAGGTCCTTGCACTTGTGCAGCAGGCGGCAAAACCACTGAGCTAAATCTCCAGCCCGTTGGGGTTTTTTTGGGGGGGGTCGTTTCGTTTTGTTTTTGGTACTGGGTATCGAACTTAGGACCCTGCGCTTGCAAGGCAGGCGGCGGAACCATTGAGCCAAACCCCTGGCTGCACCACAGATTTTTACTTTCATCTCATTATGAGATAATAGCACTTAATTGATTGAGTTGAACCTTACTCAAACATATTTATATTATATTATATGGGGAGAGACACCAACAAAAAAAATGTATATACACGTGAGTAGTTCATCATACTAATAAATGTCTGGAAGCTAATGTCCACTGCTTTGAGCACCTCTTGTAATTGTAGAGGCTAAGGGTCACCTATATTAATCTCATGGTGTTGTCAATAAATTTAGTATTAAAATATTTATATAAGTTTTCATTTTCCTGATGTATACATTTTTTGGTGGACTCTGATCTATTAAAATATATATATTCTTATCAGAGGGCCCTTTCCATCTCCCTTAACAACTAAGAGCATCCAAACTCAAGCTTCAGAATGAACAAAGAGGCTAGTCCCATGGAAGGAACAATTAAAATGGGGAATCAAATTGTAAAATCTCTGTTTTCATTGAGGAGTGGAGAAGATAGTATTTAAGCATGAGTTAGTTTGGCAGGTGGTTGGTCAGGGATAGGACCTCTCCTGTCAGTGACAGGCCATGTAACATGATCCTCTAAGGTCTTTTCTACTCTGGGATGCCAAGATTCTTTGCTATTATGGTATTCACACACAGCCACACATGTTCTTCCCTCTACAGTTTCTTTTGCTAAGTTATTATTTGCCTAGTTAACAGTAAGATGAGTTTTCATTCCCTGGATCACCTAAGAAGAGCTAGAGCATCAAACTAAGCAGTTATGGACCCAGCTTGAGAGAGCTGCCAGTCTAATGGAAGACGTAGATCTTAGGACACCAAGAAAGAAGAGTAGTGGAAGAAGGGGTAGTGGGACAGAATACTGGGTGGTAGTCCATGAGAGATGAGCAGGAATCACAGATCAGAATGGAAGAGTGAGCCATTTTTATTTTGGGAAGCTGTCTTAAGGAGAGGACCATCTTGGGTTCCCATTTGGCTAGCCTCCTTGGTTTGTTTCTTTCTTTTTGACCCTAGCTGAACCATAGTCTCTACGAAGTGATGAGTAAACTGGAGAAGCAGCATTCCAACAAAGTCTTTGTGGTGAAGGGAATGCCAAGGTGAGCAACTTCTGAGACTCTTTTCTGCTTCATTTGTCCTGTGTGTGAACGTATTCAATGTTCCTATCTCCAATCCAAAATCCTGGCCTTAAACCCAGTGTGGTGGTACACACCTGTGATCCCAGCACTTGGGAGGCCGAGGCAAGAGGATCATCATGTGTTTGAGGTCAGCTTGGGCTACATAGTGAGTTCGAGGTCAACCTGAACTACACAGGGAGACCCTGTCTCAAAAAAAAATCCTGGCCTTTTTTTTAATGTTTATGGCCAAGATGTTGTTTGCACTATGCCCCTATATATTTTTCTTTTCATTAAGTATTTCAGATAAAATGAATGGCAGGCCCAGGGATTTAGCTAAGTGGTTCCACCACCTGCCTTGCAAGTGCAAGGACCCAAGTTCGATCCCCAGTACCAAAAAAAAAAAAAAAAAA